AAATGGTCCGGTCTGACACAACAATTACAGCTTCATGGATAAGCTTAGTGGCTTTTTTTGTGTTTTCCAGGCAGATATTTCTGATTACTCTGTTTGCTCTTGGTGTTTTCTTGCGTTTATAAGGTGGTCTCCTTGGACCAAACTCTTCCCCTGTTTCAATTCTTTTTATTACTTGCATTACGGTTTGGTAAGAAACCTTTGCGGTTTGTGCAATTTTTCATTGAGATAAATTTGTATTTTGTAAAAGACATGTTTATCAATTTTTAATGTAACTATAATAATAATAACAATGTATAATGCAGGTTGTTAACCAATGGTTTATAATCAGAATTTAATATGGCTGGCGGTAAAGGTAAAGAGAAGTTTAAGGGAACAAACATTTACTTGTAAGTTAAGTGTAAAATTATATATTTTTTAAAAATCACAGTTCGTTTTTTTAATGCTATTTTATTTTTAACTTTTTGATGTATTTGATGCAAATTACTCAGGCAATACCTTTTTTATAGAGAGAGTTTTGTCAATTAAAGTGACTGCTACAGTTGCCGAAATAAGAAAAGGAATAATGACTTTATTAAAATACGCACTCGACAGATCAAATGGTGGTGGTCGGCGCGTAAAAGGCGGTTCACCCGATGTATAACATTCATACTTTTTCCTAGTTGTTCTGGAACTATTGATAATAGTTATTGATAAATTGATAAATATATTACTGATAAATAAAACTTTTTTTTCAAACATTTTATTTTATTTGCATTGTATATAAAGTCCGTTGAAGCAATTTAGTTGAATCTGATTAATTTACGTGAAAAATAATATCCTCTGCGCAAATTATTACTTTTTTATTGTGTTATTTTATTGCAATTAAAGTTGAGATAATTTTTTAGTTAATTGGATTTAACTAAAATAAAAAACAAAAATCAACGTTGAATTTACGTTGTTTCAACGTTGTTCTAACGTCTTATCAACTATGTATCAATCGAATATATCACCTATTCAAAGTTGAAATATGGTTGATATGTAGTCGATAAGACGTTAGATCAACGTTGAAACGACGTAATCATCGACATTGTTTCAACGTCGTAGTTTTCGACGTCGGATTTTATTTCCAATTCAACCAAATTTCAACGTTGTTTCAACGTGGTATATGGTCGGTTTGCGACGTCGTTTTAACGTTATTTCAACGTCATTGTGCCTGCTGGGCACCCACCAGATTTAAGCAGGTGCCTGTTTGTCAGCCCACTGCTTTAGGTTTTGAAGTTACACACGGAAAATCGCAAACTTTGATATCGCCAGGTATAATACGCCCTAACCCGAACCCTGAACCTCGTAAAAAAACACGAAAAAGAAGACAAAAAGAAAGATCAAGAACTTTGACCGATAAACCAGAAAGGCATAAAATTAAAAACTTAAAGACTAAAAAACATGTTTCAAATAATTAAATGATCAAAAAAAGACTCAATAATACAAAAAGAAGAGTTCTATCTGAAACAGAAACAAGCATTGATTCTAATAACTATTTAACAAGTGGCACATCTGAAGGTGCCTTCAACAATAACAGCTAAGATGAAAACCTACAGTTTGAAAATGTTAACAAAGAAAATTAAAAAGTTGGATACTTGGTATATTTTTATATGAAGGTTCTTATTTTGTTGTAAAGGTAGAATCAATATCTGAAGAAGGTTTGTTAATGAAATCATTACAAAAATTACTTAAAAGTTAGAATTTAAAATGTGATATGTTCAAATGCACCTACCTAGGTCTATCTACCTTTTAATTTTAAAGTTAAAAGGTTTTGTTCAAAAAGCAAAAAAAACTTAATTTGATATTATTTTGATTTTGTTCAGAGTTTTGTTAAACAATGCAATTGATCGAATTGGTGTTTTGTTAAACAATGCAATTGATCGAATAATATTTTGGTAAAGAAAAGTTAATAACTTACTTAAACTACGTCCGAATTCTCAATGTGTCCTATGTACTCCGTAATACAAGCCCAGGTACACAGGGTATGTTGTACACACTAAAAAATGTATATCTAAAAAATTTCCCAGGTTCGACAGGTCCCCCTAATCATATAATGCAGTCAATCGTCTTTAAAATAAGTTATTTTTATTTTTTAACAACGATTTGAGTGTAGAGAGCATTAAAAAAAAAAAAGTAGTAATAAATAACGGTAACAAATATTAATAATAATGATTTATATATTTATGACAATAATTAAAACTAATAATAAAATTAATAATAATATCTATAACAGTTAATTTTGGGTGCTTTTAAATTCTCTACGAACGAGAGCGTTAAAATTAATTTATTTTAAGCCGCTTAATTGCAGAACTTTATGTATATATTTATACATATAACCCTGTTATACTACCGATACATTCAATCGCGAGAATGATGAATGTAAAAAATTGTTTATTTGTTTTTTGAACTTATAACAATATTGTTGTTTAATTATTTTAGAAATGGCATCGTTTCTTTTTAAAATATTTGCAAAAAATCGAAGTTTATCTTGGCATCATGTTTGTGCATTTGTTTTAACTTACTTTTCATATGCAATTTTTCAAGGAAATCGAAGAGCGTTTGATGATTGTAAAAATACATTGAACAAGTCATTTGTTTTTCAAAACTTCATTGAATCGTCTCAAGATCCAATATACTTGTTTGTATATCTTGATATTTGTTTTGCATTTGCCTACGCAGTTGGATTATTTATTAGTGGCATTATGGGAGATAGACTAAATTTGCGTTATATGTTAACTTTTGGTATGTGTGGTTCCGCTATTACTACTTTAATTATTGGGTATTTAAGAATAAAACAAAACATTCACATTGATTACCTATACTACTTGCTTTTTTCTGTAAACGGCTTATTTCAATCAATAGGTTGGCCAATTACAGTTGCAATAATAGGAAACTGGTTTTCTTCAGGAGACATTCTGTATGGGATATGGGGTGGAAATGGACCCCTCGGTTATATAATTTGTTCTTTTATTGTTAGTTATTCATTGGATTATGATTATAAAAATGCATCGTTGTTAAATGGTTCTTTATTATTTTGCTGTGGCTTAATTAACCTATTTTGTTTAATTACTCATCCAAATCAAGTTGGTCTTAAGGAAAGCAACTTATTAAATGAACGAGATATAGAAAATGAAGTTTTTATCAAAAAAGCTGTTGGCTTTGGGGAAGCAATTATGTTACCAGGAGTTCTAACTTATGCACTTTCTCAATCTTTTGTAACAATTACTAACGACGTATTTATCTTTACATTGTCAACTAATTTAACTCTTGACCCTAATTGGAATGATACAAGTTCCAACGGATTGATATCTTACTACGACTACGGTTCATTAGTTGGAGGTAATAATATATATTTTTTAATATTTAAAATTATTATTCTTTTATATATTTAGAATTACGGAGGTTTTTTTCATTAACTATAAATTGAATATAATAATTTGATTTGATGACTTAATTTTGTAATAGTTTTTAAGTTCTTAAATTTAAAAACTCAAAATAACTTTTTTAATAAAAAAGCAACTCCGAGAACTAATAATTTAAACAGTATCTGAAGTTACTGGTTAACAAAAAATTTGAAAAGCAGAGTTTAAATATTGAATACTTTTTCATTACAAACACTTTTTTAAAGCCAAATTTTTGAATAAAAATTTGGAAAAACAAAATTTTTCAATCAGGAGTGTTAAAAATTTCGAAAGTTGAAAGAAGCAGAAGCGTTACACTAGTCTTAACTTTGATCAAAGTTGTTAAGGTTATTATTTTGAGCAAAGCATTGCTAGTTTGATAGTAAAAAAATATAAAAGAAAATGATTGAAATACCTTAAATATTTACTTTATAGAATAAGTTTTTTGTTTTATAAACCTCGAAGTCAGAAAATACATTTCTTTAGTTATTTTGTTTTAAAATTCACTATTTTTTAATCACTACAGTATTTTATCATAATCATAATTCATATTTAAAAATGAGTAAACATTCTTAAAGCAACAAACCAACAATTACTCACGATTTATTTTGTTTCTAATTTATTGTTCCTGCTTCTACTTGTCGGAATCATCTTTAAGAGGATATGCGTACATCGGGTCAATCGCTCTTATAATTAAAAATAAATTTTCGTCAAAGTTAAGGTTCTAAATTTAAACTTATGCAGTCTCGGAGCGGCGAGGCTTTAGTTTACAGTAGTCTAAGTAGTAATAAAAAAATTAAATAATAAAAATTTGAATTATTTAATAAAATTGATAACAAATATTATATTAGTACTAAATTGAATTATTATTTGCAAGATATTAAAAAAAACAAAGATTAAAGTTTTATCTAAGATTATGCATAAGCTTTAACAAAAAACAAGCATTCTACTATGTATTCAATTAAATAAAGATATTAAACTGTAAAACAACAATTCAGATTCTCTGAATATTTTTTTTTGATATAAGTAATATTTCTGATATATCTAAGTCTAATATACTTTGTTTTTTTTTAAATTAAATCTAAAAAATTTAGTTTTTCAGAATCATGCGATTAGGAAATCTAATGAGTTGAGGCAAAAAACAATAACTTATAGCAAAATGTAACGAACTGGCTAATACTAATCTTACCAAATACACTCTATTAAAGTTAACTTATAATGGCATTGAAATTTAGGTTTGTGATGCGTAAAGCTATATTTATAATAATAAAGCAGAAAGTACAAAATCTTAAGCAAAGAAAAAGGCTATAAATTAACATCTAGCTGTAAATAAATGTAGATGGTGAACTATTTGCAAAAAAACTACATAGTACTTGATAATAGTTGGTACATTAAAGTAAAAACTCAAACAAAATTTATGTATAGATAAATCAGAAAAAAAGTATTTTTATTAAATTCATTTCGTGAAAAATTAAAAATCCTCAAAAATGATAACAATTTACATTAAATAATTCAATAAAACGATGGTTATGCACGTTTTCTTTTCCTCTAGACCTTCAAAAATCTAATTTTCGATTTGTATTGTTAGCATGACATTACTGCCCAGGCAATGTTTTTAGTATTTTGGTAAAAAAACAATATGTAGACGTTTTAAAAACATTTTTTTTTAAAAAAATTGCTTTTTTTAGGCGTTATTGATGGAATCCTATCAAAATTAATAGGGATGCGATCACCAGTGATTTTTACAATGCATTTGTTTTCCGTTGCTACAATATACTTAAACTTCAGACTTCATCACGGTTATACAAACCCTATAATCATTTTTTTTAATGGATTTTTAGTTGGCGGAATTAATATTATAATTAGTACTGCTATTTCAGTTGATCTCAGTAAGCATGATCAGATAAAAAACAAAGCTCAAGCTTTGGCTACTATTACAGGAATTATTGATGGCACCGGACATTTTGCATCAGCAGTCGTTCAATGTTTGACACTTATAATAATTAATAAACTTAAAGAAGAAGGAGTTTTTTATCTTTTGATGATTGTTACTGGATCAAGTTGCTTTTGGAGTTTCTTTATTTTATACAAAGATATTTTGAACAAGAAAAAAAAAAATTATGTTAAACTTTAAATACTCATTATGAAAATAAAGTTTTTTGTTAAGTAACATTTTATATTTTGTAGTATTTTTTGTATTATTTTTTTTTTTTTTTTTTTTTTTTAATTTCCACTTTTGCCGATAAAAAAAAAATTTACAGTCGTAACTTATAAAAAAAAATATTTACATGACCGGGGCTAGAAGAAGACAAATTTAGTCTTATCATTAAGCCTTAAAAAATGCGTCATTACTAGACAAAATATAGTTTGACAATAAAATATAGTTTTAATGTATATATCTCTAATTTATATTATAATAGAAAATTTAAATATATCGCATATCGTTTAAAATTTATAGTTTTTCAAAGAGTAAGATTTAACAATTGTTTTGTAAAATAAAAGAAACAAAATTTAATAAAATATTAAAATGACAAAAATAACATTTAAGACTTGGTTTGAAAAAATAAGAAGATATGATTATACTTCGCCATATTGATTTTTTGTCAGTTTTTAATTCTTGCTAAATTATTTAACTTCAAACAACATTGTATTTGATTTGATTATATAAATAAGTAATGTTAAAAACTCTCTCTCTCTCTCTCTCTCTCTCTCTCTATATATATATATATATATATATATATATATATATATATATATATATATATATATATATATATATATATATATATATATACATATATATATATATATATATATATATATATATATATATATGTATATATATATACATATATATATATATATATATATATATATATATATATATATATATATATATATATATATATATATATATATAATATATATATATATATATATATATATATATATATATATATATATATGTATATATATATATTTATATATATATATATGCATATATATATATATATATATATATATATATATATATATATATATATATATATATATATATATATATATATATATATATATACATGTATTATGACGCTTGTTATATTTAAAACTAATAGAGGACACATGGTATGACAATAATTTAGTTATAACTAACATATGTTTGACTTCAACAGCGTTACTAATAAGTGAAATAGGGCAAAGTGAACAAATAATGGCTACAAATTTTTTATTAATTGTCGAGAAGGATGTTTTAAACTAATAATGAATTTTTTTTTTACTGTTTTATTAATGACGAACAACTACACCATACACAAACCTTTTTTAATTTTAAAAAAATTTTAATTCACACAAAAATTAATTTAAACTGAGATTTTAAATTGGTACCAATTATTGGCCGGGTAGACCAAATAAGAGCCAGCAAGTTAAAAAACGGTACTTATTTTTAGCCATATACATTACCTAAATTCAATTTATTTAAGAATTCTTATATATCGAAAAGTATTATTCAGACAGACGATTAAAGCCTAATAATAAACCATAATCTACCTTAAAGAACTATAAACCAAGATTATTTTTTTAATGCAAAACATTCTTTACTTCGCTTAAAAATATTATTTTGGTTGATATTAAACAAAAAAACTTAAACAGTTTGTATTTGTTATTCAAATTAAGATATTCTATCGAAAAAGAAATACAAAATAAGTTAAGAAACTTTTTAATTACTTTTATGGAAAATCAGGCATAAAACAAGTTTTAAATAAAAAATAGCTTTAGCACATAGCTGTTTTAATAATAATGTAATAAGCTTTACAACAATATATTAGAAGTGTTTATAATATTAAAATAACAAGAAGAAGTTTACACAATATATTACTAATGAACTGTTGATAATAATCTATTTACATTAGCTCACTAGTAATATTATCGATGGAGATAATTGCATTATCTGGTACTTTAATACAGATATTTTAATTATCTGAAGAGATATTGAATTCCAATATCTTTGGAATCGAACTAACTTTTCTCATTCTAACTGAGTTAGCTTTTTTAGATAACTTTTGTATTTTTTTCTCCTGTTTTCGTTGTGCTTTATTTTCATTTTCTTTTTGTTTTTTCAAGTTTTTCTCTTCTTTCTCTTTTTTCTCCTCATCATTTACTTTAGATTGTATTGCTTCTTGAGAAGTTAGTACAATATATTTTTGAACCTTTTTTTGATTTTTTTTTGGCTTGATAGTATATGTATTTTGTTAAGGCAAAATATCATTGTCACTATCATTACTTGAATGGTTTGTACACAACATAATTGGTGTCAGACTAGGCTGAACAATGGCTCAAATAGGCATATGATTACAATCATTAGTGGTTTCATTGGAAAAAAAAATAGATTTCTCAGTTGTTTCATTGGGCACAGGAATTTGCTGAACAATAGTTTTATTTAAAAATGGATTAGTAACTATGGATTCAGTTGGCATCGAAACAGAGTCATCTATTTCTAAAATGGTATTTGTTTATGAAATCTCTTTCAGTTTTAATTCTTTATATAAATTATACAAGGATCTGGGATGTTGTAGCCGTTTTAAAAACAGAAATTAAAAGTTGTAAACTGCTCATAAGTCAACTGGGTATCCCATGTCAAAGAATTATTGTCAAGGTTTATCAAATTATTATCTATTTTACATTTAGACATATTACCAGGTTTTTTAACTAATTCTACTTCAAAATAAACTTCTTCTTCTATTGCATATTCTAATCTTGTTATTTTAGTGTCAGTTTTGATTGGATGCAGACTTGATTCAAGCAGATCATTTGAGTCAAGTAGCTGTTGTATGGAATAGACAGAATTAGGCAAGTAAGCTGTGTCTGGAACAGCAGACGGATTGTATGGATAAATACCACATGATCGAAACCCTGAAATAATATTAGCAGCTGTGAAAGCTTGTACCCAGGTTTTTTTAAAAAACCCAAAAAAGTTGACTTGAGAATCGTGACCATCAACTATGAGAGTTTTTGGCCTATCTCTACCTATTTTAGGCAAGAAAGTATTAGTGAACCAAAGAAATGCAATTCCTTGCTTTTTCCAACCTGTCTTACTAAAACTCCAACTTGAGCCTGATGTTGCATCTGCAGTAATGAAAGAATGAAGACATCTAGCCGTTATACCTTGTGCTATCAAATACAGAGGTACTAAAACACCTGCAGCATTTACAGCAGCAATAACGGTTATGGTTTCACGTTTTCCAGATGTGCGAGATTGAACGCGTTTTGTACCTCTTTTTGCAATAATTTTAGGAGGTTTAAAATCCGTCTGTAGTACAGACTCATCCATATTCCAAATTAATGAAGGCTTTAAAAGGGCACGAGTGTCACTCAAAACTTCATGCAGTGAATAGAAACATTTAGCAACTTTTGGTATAGACAAGCATTGATGACGAACTGATAAAGTACCTTGAGGCTTTCACAAAACTAAATTTTTATGTACCTGAATAAATGAGCGCCACCATTTTTTTAAAGGACTTGAATGTTTAAACTTTAAATTGTGCTTTGTGGCTAAATCTGAAGCATATTTTTTAAATTGTCTTCATCCAAATCCAAGTGCAGCTCTTGTTGAGGCATATTCAACTAGCTTTAGCTCTAAGTTTATTGATAATGTTAGACTAGGTCCGGGTTTGACACCAAGAACTGAATCGCCTTTAAGATAATTACTAAGGGTTGACCGAGGAATACTAAATTGTGTTGCAGCTCCTCATTGCAACATTGAACTATTTTGAACAGCTGCAATTGCATTTTTCATGTCGTTGTTGGACCACTGAAATCTTTTTACATTTGTCACTTTCTGATTCAATTTTGAATTAAAACTAGAGCCAGTTTTCTTTTTAATCTTGTTAATCTTTTTTGTAATTTTCGTAGTTTTTCCATTATTTACTCAAATTAACTAAAAGATAGAGTATACTGACTACAATAGCTGACCTTACAAAAATCTAATATAAATATATTATCATTGTTATGATAATATATTTACATTAGATTTTTGTAAAGTTATATACAGATACCATAGACAAATACATTTACAAGCACAAGTATGCTTATCATACTTATCTATACATCAATGTAACAGAAATAGCATACATAAGTACAATGGTTAAATATAACATAATACTTATAATACATAATACTTAGTGAGCATTCATTTAAATATACAAAAAATATATTTATTAAATTGTTATGTAGCAAGTAAATATTAATAATAAAAACTTTGGTTTATATGTAGTATATAAATTATACAATACAAACCATTACTTTAAATATTTACAAACATTATAAAAAATAAAATTACATACTTACAAACATAATAAACCGTTACAATAATACTGTAAAGTAAATAATAATTATATTGGTATTAAACCATGGTAAAGTAAACACTGATATTAGTTAATATAAGCCTTATCATTATGCTTATGTTAACTATAATCAGTATTATTACTTTACCATGTATAAACACTAAGTAAAATTATAATAAGGATTCAATTAGGACATATAAGTTATTAGGACTATTATAAAAAGGAAATATAAGTTTCATTATTTGTGACACAACTTGTATTTAAACTATAAATTTCACAATAAATTAAACTATTGTCTTAATAATAGCCACGTAATAATACAATATTACAAATAAAAGTCGTGGCTCTTGTTTGGTTAAAGGAGTGGCAATTATTAAGACCTATTTGAAATCTGGGAATTTATGTTGTATTCATGCCTCTGCCTATCGTATATTGACGAACAAAACTGAAAAAATATTTATATAAGTTAAATTAAATCATAGATATATTAAAGAAACAGAAAAGTATAACCAATTACTAGATAAATGATCAGCCAAATAAATAAATGCAATCAAAGCGGACCCAATATTGGCTCTTAATAAGATCCGTCCATTATTAGGGCACTTTGCCCTAACTAAGTACGTTTTCAAATAATATATTATGTTTTAGTGTTTATATGTTTTAACAAAAGCATAACGAATTTGACTTAAAATGAATGAGTTTGCAATTACTTTAAAAATAAACCATGCTTAAACATTATCGCTTTCTTAGCCTGTTTTTTTTTTTAATTTGCTTATTTTTCTTAAAATAAAGTAATGTTTATTTGCATGTTAAAAC